CAAAGTCAAATTCATGTCAACAAATGGTCTAATGAGCGACATCACACTGGTTGTGTAATGACACATAAGAAGATTGCTTCTGGTAGTCCAACAGAGCCATTCCAGCATGCTGGATGATGCTAGAGCATCCTGCTCGGGTCTTCACACCCAGACACAGAGCTCGCTTTTGGACAGAGCTGTGGGAGGGAGAGTTGATGTGATCAGCAGGAGGCAGAAGGAGGCAAAGGTGGCTTTGTGGTGCTCAGAGGAGATGAGGAATAGCTGTCAAGTGGGAGAAAAAAACATATATTTGCCATGTATATGGAGGCTTTTCTCCCAAAGGACATGGGATAATAAGAAATAAGGAAACCGGATTATAAAAAACATAGCAATTTTGGGGGAACCTCAGTCTCCTCAACAGGCAATGGGAAGCTGTTGGAGAACTGTGTGTGAGCTTTAACTGGTGGGAAGGAGAAGAGTGGCTGGGAGGTGTGTGGGGGCCAATGGCCAGAGGCAGAGAGGGTGCACAAGATAGGAGGTATGGGCAGGTACATCAGAGACTCAAGAAGCGGGAGGTAAAGAGCAGGGGACTATTCTTCTTTGAACCATCAAGTTCTGAGGATTTCATCTGGCTTGTTTCCTCCTCCAAGCTCCCAATGACAAATCTCTACGCAGCTGAGAAGAACAGAAAGAGAAAATCCAGAGACCCACATGAGAGACCTCCAAGGTTGACCAAAGATGTATATGCCTGAAAAGAGATCTTCTGAGGCTGTTGCCAAGCAATACTATGTGTACAGTACAACACACTCTTACTTACATTCTGAGAAACTTTCAGAAGACAAGTACATGAAACATGATAAGTGCTTTTCTCTGCTGATAAATCAACAACAACAAAAAATGGCATGATGATTGATTTCACTACCTTAGTTTGCTTCATATGCGGTCTTCCAGAATGCCAGCTGCACAGATGCCGAGGCAAAATCAAACTACAAATATTTTTCCCCTTGGGATGCAAGGGAGACCACAGATTCAGATTCAAACCCCAGGTTTCCCTTCGGGCTTTGGTTCCGAACTGGATCCCCAAAACTCTGAGGGACCATCTAACCTGCAGTCACACCTGTTGTGATAATGTTTGCTCAGGGAGTAGGAAACATGAAAGATCCCAACAAGGTTTTGTAAATTCTCATCCCTTTCAAGACCCTGGTTTTGGTCAGGCTTACCTTAAGCCTGAACCAGGTCTGAAGACTGGTGTCACAGTGCAGAATACACCAGGGAGACACCGCATCTTTTCTCTGAATATCTCCTTAGGAAAAGAGAGCTTTTGCTAGAAGGCAAAACCTGCCCATTTTTATATAACAGCTTGTCTGAGTACATTGCATCCCATCCCCTGTCACCAAGCTGCTGGCCAGGTGTGAAGAATGTTATTTCACTTTAACTCTGATGCACCTCTATAACAATTCTTAAAAACTGGAGATGATGATTCTGCTGAGCAGAGGAAAACCATCCCGTCTAATAGTGAAGCTGTCCAAACAAAAATTAATTTCCTGAGCTGGCATGTCTCGCCCAATTAATCTTGTGGCAGTCTGGCCAAAGTCAGACTGCATTTGCTCTTTGTTTATTTTCAGCCAGAACTACACGTGTTGGAGCAAACTTGCTTAGTTGGCTGTCATAAAAACTTCTTAGGAAATGTGATTTTAGGAACTTCAGAAAACTGAGTTGAAAGTAATCTCTGATCTGTCCCATAGCCTATTTTTTATTTCTTTAGCACAAAGGGATGGCATACAATCATGTGAAGAAGTAGTTTTACTTACTAAAGTAAGCAGGGTAAGATTATAACCATGGTTTCTAAATGTTGCCTAAAGAGACAACCTGTCCAACGCTCTTTTTACATCTTCTTGGCTGACATATGAAGCTTGGAGCCAGGATTTCCAGTTAGCCAGAAAGCCAGAAATGGTGCTCAGAGTTGTTCCAAATGAAACTCTTACTGCAGTATTTTAAAGCCATCTGTGCAGCTTCTGACCAACCAAACTCCCTCACCTTGGAGGGCGGGCTGTGGCACGGTATGATGATAACCCAATGCTTTCTATTTGCTGTCTGTGACTTCAGCGAAAAACACTCCAGCATTACACATCCTATGGCATGTCCACAGAAACTTGCTGTGCCAGCAAAAGGTAACAGCCTGGAAAGCAGCTCTACCTCATGAAAATCACAGACCTGTTACTGTGACATCCTATGAGTTAATATTCCCTAGAAGGGAAGAAATTAAACCATCCAATTAAATGTGGAATACCTTCACTTTTCTGAGAGTCTCATCCATACCTGTAAAGTCTTTGCACTGAGTAATTGCAGCCCATGTACACATGCCATATTCACTTGACAATCTCCACCATAAGACCCTCTTGCAGCTTAATCAGAAGCTTACCTGTATTTAAGTCCTTTGACCAAGATTCGCATTCTGTGAAGATGGTTGATGTCATCTGGACTTCAGACAACAAACAAGGTTTAAGCCTTGTGTAATGGGGGAAAGCAGGGCTGTCTGAGGGGCTGAGGATCCCCTCTCAGGCACAGCTGCCTATGATCCCTGGGACCTGTTCTCCCTTGGTGTCTCTCTTTCAGGTCTGAGGAGGTGCAGGACCTGCAGCTAGTGTTTCTGAGTGCTAATGGCTGCAGGGAGGTTGCAGGGAGGCTCCAGGATGGGGAGGGATTGGCATGCAAAGAGTAGGAACAAACTCCATGGTCTGAATGCAAAAGCAGGGAACCAGTGAGAGGAACAGAATGTGAAAAAGAATTGGGGAGTACCTGGGAATATGTAACTGACCAATCAGAAGATAGATTTGAGAGAGAGAGGGGAGGAAGGGAAGAGGGATATACTGTAAGTCAGTACAGCTGTGGAGCATGCTGGGGTCAGGTGAGAGCAGATAACCTGATAGGTAGAAAAAGAAACTTAAACTGGGAGTTGAGATGAGGAGAAGACTGAGATGTGGAAGAGAGAAAAGGTCTGGAACTAGCAGCAAAGCAGGAGAGAGGTAGAGGCTTGGACTAAGAGAAACAGGAGGCTGGAGCTGGTGAAAAGATCCTAAGAGACAGGTGATGCTATCAAAAGCTGAAGGCTGGTTGATATGGCACAGGAAACCTTAAAGGTATCTTTTCTTAACGACTGAATGCTTGACTTACTAACTGTACAGCTGCTTCAGAGGAGAGCTCACATGCAATGACAGCACATGTGCTTTCAAGCAAACATAGCCCAATAGACCTGATGAAGGGCTGACATTCATGTCTGGCTTGTGTGGCTATTGAGGTGGACAAGCCACCAGGAAAGCAGGCAATCTCAGGTGAAACCTTTGGCAAGTCTGTGACAAATAAGCTAAAATGGATGGTGTGCAGATGAGCAATCCAGGTGAGCTGGCAATGGCTCAGTCTTAATCCATATGGGCACAGCTCCCCAGAGTAGAACCTGATTCTTTCTTCCTGCTCAAGGCTGGGCTCAGGTCAGGCACATGCCAGGGACCAGCTCCCTCCACCAAGGTAGAAGAAAGGATGGACATCTCTGCAGTCTGCAGCTGCCCACAGCTGAACAGGCAGCTCTGCAGGGTGCCTCTTCATTGGCACCCCAGGTGATGCTTGTGTGGATCAGTGTTTTATGGCATCCTCCTCAGAAACCTGAAGGTAGCCCCAGATGGAAAGGCCAAGTATCTAACTTTTTCCCATTGCTTGTACAAACCCAGTTTGGCAGCATGTGGTGGGGGTTTATCTCCCTTTTAACCAGTCAGAGAATGACGTGGTACCAGAAAGCATAAAGCAGACCCTCAGGAACACCTACTCCCCAGCCCCACGTGCTGCTGCTGTTTTACCAGCCTCTAAAAGCTCTCTGCAGGAGATGGATGACTTTGCAGCAGCCAGAGATGTCTCCCTGCCCACAGCGTGCAGGGCCAGCTGCTCTCCCAGCAGTATGCCCCATGGGGCAGAGCCAGTGAAGCCATCTGACTCACACATGAGTTGCCTGTCAAGAAACAGCTGGAGGCACTCAGCAGTGCTGGGGTGCTGGACACAGATCCTCCTGAGGCTGCAAAAGGCATACTCTGGGGTTTCGTGATGGGCCTCATCCTTTGGAGCCAAAAGTCATGGGGTTCATGGCCAAACAGATGGACTTCACTCAGAGGAGGGGGAGGCCACCTGAGGAAGGGTAAGAGGAGCCAACACCAAACATGTGTAGGGCTCCTTAGCAACATGAGATTAGCCAAAACATGCCGTTGCATTGCAGACCTCTGGATATCCACACACTCTCCCTTACTCACACACACTAAGCCTTCCCTGGACTCCAGCATCTTCAGTGGCCTTCATCCAGCAACCTCCCTGCGCTGCTCCATCCTGCTCAGTAGAGGCCATGAGCCAAGCCCCGACATCCCTTGCTGCCTTCCCACACCAACTAACACAATATCAAACACCAAATACACCTCAGTCTACCCCTCTCTTTCACCCTGGCTTATAACAGGCTCTTCAACGTCATTAACCTATGAGAGGAAAAGTCAAAGCAGGGGTTTCTGAATGGATACGAATGCCACCAGCAATGCACAAACCATGTCACAGTGCTGGTGGCTTGTGGACACCCAGAAATGGCTGCAGACAGCAGTGCCTGTCACAACTACTGAAGATGCTGATGCTAATTCAGAAAAGCCTTAATGACTCCATTTAACACTGTCCTTTAACCGGGCCCCCAGTGCCACCTTGGTGGGTTTTCCTTTGGTTGCAGTCCTTTGCCAGACCTGACCCACGCGGCCCAGAGCTCCTGCATGTGTCCAGTGCAGGTTCCACCTGAGAGGCCCATGGCAGAACTGTGGTGAGGAGCAAGCCAGGGAGCCTTCTCCTGGAAAACATAACCAGGAGTAGGGCCAAGCTTAGCATTTGTGTCCTTCCCACATATAAAAACCTCATCACGCTGGGCCTGCCATGCGCAGCACAGAGCTCTGTCTTCCTCTCAAAGATTTCTCCTTAGCTTGTTGCCTTTCATTTCAAAGCCATACCTCCTCTCTGGATTTCCTTTCACCAGGCACGCAAAGCTTGTCCTCTTGCTGTTACCTTCTCCAGCCATGCCAATGCCCATGGCTGTCTAACACTGTCCCGTGGTCTCAGGGGTATGTAAAACTGAGCAGGGCTCGTGAAAAATCCCCCTCTCCCTCCCTATCTGTGTCACGTGTCCAGAAACAAAACAGCCTCGAGGCATCTCTGCTGCATGTTCTGGGTCCTGTCATCAGCAGCGTGTGATCTTACCAGGACGTAACCCAGCTGGTCTTGTTTCTGCTCTCTGCTCCTTGCTGTCTTAGTGTGGCTGATGAGAGGAAAGAGCTAGACAGAAGAAAGAGAACAGAGACCAAAGAAAGAAATGGGAGAGAAGGCGGAAGATGAAAGGTGGTGAAAAAAACTCCCACCTTTATAATAGTGGAAAACAGGCAGAAAAGAAAAAAAGAAGAAAGAAAAGGCAGATGGTGATGAGCAAATAGAGAGAAGGAAAGAAAAGAATAGAGAGGATACAAAGTGTAAAGCAGCAGAAAAGCGAGGAAGTAAAAAATGGAGTGAATGAGGAAATAAGAGCAGAGGCAATCCCCACCTTGAAGATATACGTTCCTAGAGAAAGCCATTTGAGCAGCACACGGTAAAGAGCTCTGTAATGAGGTAGCAGATGCTGCCCTCTCTGTGGGACTGGGACAGCCATTCGTCACAGGCAGGACGAAAGGCAGCCTTTGAAGGGAGCTATCCCAACAGGGTCAGAGGCAAAACCTCTTCTACAAGCTGGAAGGGGTCATTAAATCAGTTATCAGAAGACCTATCTGTTGCAAGTTCATGCTCGGTTTGTTTGGCAGCAGCATGTTTGTGTGCCCATGTCCCCCCTCACCGCACTTGCCCAGGGAGCACAGATGGGCAGACAAGGGAGATCACGGTGTGCCAGCAGTAAAGCTTTCTGCCTCCACGCTCCCCGTGAAAGTGGAGCCAAACCCACACTACATGCAGAATTCTGTACTCTCTTCCAACGTAGTTATCCAACTAGTTTTCAAGTTGGTCCCTCACAAAATAAAAGACTATTTGAACTCTGCTTTATATCAGTTTTTTTCGTTGCTAAGACACAAATCTTACAATGAAAGCCCACATTTAAGGAACACTAAATAAAACCAATGCTGATACATTAAATGTTAAATGAGAGGAAATGAGTAAAGCCCACTTTATCCTCCTTATAATCTTCTGAGCACACATACTAGCAACCAAAGTCTGAGTTATCTCTATGCAGTATCACAAGTGGAAGGAGGCTGCAGTCATGAATATGGGGGCAGAAGTTGTGCAAGGAAGCTTTTTTGAGGGAGTTCACAGCAATAGTGCTTTTGTCCCTGTGAGGACAACTACTCTGCTGAAGCATGTGATTGCTGGCACACACTAGGCTTGCTAGGTCAGAAAATGCTGGAGCCCTTCCACGGGCTCTTTGCTTTTGAAGCTTCAGCTCTCTGTGTTCAGAGTAACTGAATACATTGGGTTTTGGAAGAAGGTTTTACTAATCTGCAAGATCTAGGGTAAGATTTTCCAAAAATTCCCAAGTGATTTAGAAGCACTTCTTGCTTTCTAGCAGAGTGTGGGTTCCTGCACTGTCTGGACATGTTCTAAAGCACCACCACAAATCAGAAAATACTCACCAAATTGGGCTTATTCATACTTGGTGAACAGCCAGCAAAGAGCCACAGAAGGGAGACACTAGGTGGGACCCTGGCCTCGGTGTCACTGGTGACGCACCTCAGGAGCATAACTGGGGGCAGAAGCCAGCTCCTCACCACCTCCAGCTAACGGCAGGCAGTCAATTCCTGCATTCAGAGAAAAAACCCTCAAATTCATAAAATGTGGTTAATGTTTGGGCCTGACATGAGTATTGGAAGCACTCTTGTTGCAGATTCTATAGCCATGATATTACGTCATACTACGTAATACTACGTAATAGCCTCGAGTTACAGTATACGGTATATATACAGTATATAGGATATGCAGATATCCCTATGCAAGTATCTGAATTGATACTTCCTCAGAATTGGTGTTCAGAGAGCAATGGGAATTTGCACCACGTGAGTCTCTGCCCTTGGCTGCCCACTCTTTACACACCAAACCAGCCAAAACATCCTTAGCATTAAAGGCTATGCTGGCACAACAAAGCCACACTCTTCAGAATATGCCATTCATGAAAAACCACATAATCAAGCAATTAAGACATTTACAATATAAAGACTATTTCTGATTCATTAAGGCATTTTGGAGGTCTTGGTTTGAAGTACTATTTGAATCTTTCCCAAAAACTAAAAAACAGGAAAGTGGCAGTAACACGCAAATTAGACTTGACTAAATTGGTTGACATAGCGTTTAGTGACATGTTTTAGGGTTTTTTGTTGTTTGTTTTTTTTTAATCAGAGTTAGGTTGATGGTTGGACTAGATGATCTTAAAGGTCCCTTCCAGCCCAGACAATTCCATGATTCTATGATTCTATAAATAAAGGCATTTGGTAAGTAGAATAACTAGTTAATTATATCTTTTTAAACAATTAGCAAGGAATGGGATTAGTTTTGGTTTAGAGCAGTGAAGGTGTAAAAGCATTTGAAGGCATAAAATGGAGAAGGTAAAATCTTTTAATTGCATCAGATGCAAAACCATTCTTCTAGACACACACATATACAGCTAGAAAAAGTATGATGTCAATGTAAAAATGTTGTGTCAAGAAAAAACGATACAAACAGGTATCTTGCTGTTTTCTTGTGTCTGTTTCTTAGATTAGCAAGTCTGCAATTCTGTATATCACAGTCTTTTAATCACCTTGCACTCAGGGAAGTTACTTCCATTATATAAAAGTGTGGTTCGTCGTGCTGTGGTTGATGGACATAGTTGTGGAGGGGTGATGCTTCTCAAGGGTTCCCCAGTCAAGGTTATAAAGGGCTCACAGTATTTCTTCACTGGTACTGGAGAAAGGAGTGTCAGGAACCTTCTGACCCTGGAAGCAGAGTATTTCTCATTTCTACTGCTTCTCGTGTTGTTACCCTGTCAGTGGAGGCTACAAGGCTACACCAGGCTACAAGAGCAACCATTCAGAAATGTTTCTTCAACACAACACTCTAGCATGTCCCTTCTTGTTCAAATCCGTCATGTATGTGATGTTGTCTTGAAGCTGGACTGTGGAACTGCTGCACTTTAACATCTCAGCTCTTTCCTAGCCCAAAGCTCTTCGCCTTCCCCACACCACATATCATTCTAGAAACTTGTATCCAACTCTGAGATGGTGGCCGCTGGAATTCATCTTTACAGACACTCCTACCTTACATGCTCTCAGTCACAAGTGAGGGGACTGACTCTGCAACCACACAGATCCTCTTACCCATGTCATTATCAGTTCCACACTGTACCTTGGTTAATTAATCATGGGTGTGCACTTGGGCTTGTTTGAGGTCCATCTGTTGGAGCAGGACTGCAGTCTCTCGGAGGAGGGAGGCTGATTCTCGTTTCTCAATTTCTTCCTTTGGTTGTATCTTGCCTGGTGTCTTCTTCAGGTCTCACTCTGTATCTGTGAGGCAATTTCATACATTAAACTGTGATGGTGTTCCTTCAGTTCTACATCTCATAGTGGCAGGTTTGTTTTAGACATAGTTGGCCAAAACTTTAGCAATGTGTTAAAAAGAATGTGAAGCTGACATTTTCTAGAAACCAACTCAGTAACCACATCATCTATTTTCACTGTCTAAACTAAAAAAGAATGTAACATGTAAACATACAGTATCAACTGCCATAAGCTATTTCAAAGTGGTTTTTATCTTTGAATTTTAATTTTAAAAGCTCTTGGTCATAAAAGCACAAAAAAAGTTTATTTTCTTTAAAAGAAAAAGCATTTTTCACATTCTTATGAGCATATTTTTGAACAGCTGTATTCAAGTCTTGAGATATTAAATCCAACATGATCTAAACGTGTATTCCTATAGTTCTAAATAGTGAAGCTAATCAGTATGTCATTCTTTCTCCAAAGGATTAACTTTTTCCTTTGTCACATCTGACTTTTGAAAACATCCGTCTCGGCACTGGGTAGGCTGCATTAACATAGAAGATGAAATCACTTCATGACAAATACTCAGCGTACTGCTATATGCTATTATTCCAAAGCCTAACAGAAAACTTCAGCCTTTACAAGCAGAACACTGGCCAAACTGCTTAGTTACCACATGTGTTTGCATTTGTGTTTACAACTGAACACATCCCTTCCTTCTTTTAATTAAAAAAATAAAAATAAAAAAATCCTTCTAATTTATTAAACTAACCCTGCGCTTGGGATGGGGGAATGTCCCTTACAGTCAACCACCAAAATTAGTGTCTGCACTTCTCCTCATAATCCCTTTGCCACACCCTGTGTCAGCGGAGACATCTCCACCCCACTCAGAAACTATTCATCTCCTCTGGACGAGAACACAATGTATGCTCAGAAAATCAGTTAGTCTTTGGCAACTGCATGTTTGTGGGCACTAGAAAATCTCCCGTGCTTCTGGTGCAAGTAGGGCTGATAACTCTTCCTTATCTGACGGGGTTATTTTGAAATGGTTCTCTTTATCTTTGTGAGGAAGACCTACATTCAGTGCAGCCTGCAGGAGAAAATCCTGCCAATAAACCAGGGATGCAGCTCTGAAGAAGATGCTGAGAACTGCTTCAAAGTGCGATGAACTGGTCCAGCAGAGAGGAGGTGCCAATGGGATCCAAAGGTTCGGGAGGAAGTCAACGTTTCACAGCCTGATCTGTCTGAGAGCTGATGGAAAATTAGTGAAAAAAAAAAAGAAAAAAAAAAACAAGCAAAACAGTATCATCATGTTACAACAGGAGCAGCCAACCAAGAGCGACAGACTGACTGACTGGCCAAAACTGTAACATCATATTTTCCGAGGAGGCTGTGTTAGAAAACAAAAGTGCACACTGGGGGCAGTCCTCATCAGCTGTGATTGCACCGACACAGAGCCTTTGAAGAAAAGCCACAAGTACGCACGCGGGGTTAGGATCTTGCTGGCATATGACAAAACTAAGTGGGCAGAAAACAGGCTCTTTCTACTTATTGCCCTCACAGAGGTTTTTCC